GACTTAATGTTGTAAATTCAAAGAGCCAACAGCCAGATTGCCTCCTGCTGCTACAGAATCTGATGTGAAGTTGAACGGTGGCAAAGCTCTGAATAATAAAATGAAGACTTTAACTTAGAGAATCAGATCTTGGTATAATTATCTCTGCTACATAAGGGAAAATACATTTTATTGATGTAATTCTACCTCATTTATATTATATCTAATAAAGAACAAGCATGAATAATTACTCAATAATTGGGCCAGGTACAGTGGTTCGCATGGGTAATTCCAGCACTTAGGGAGGCTAAGTCAGGCAGATCACCTGAGGTCAGAAGCTCGAGACCATGCTGACCAACATGAAGAAATCCCCTCTCTACTAAAAATGCAAAAATGAGCCAGGCATAGTGGTACATGCATGGAATCTGTTACTCGGGAGGCTGAGGCAGCAGAATCTGGACCCAGGAGGTAGGAGTTGTAGTGAGCTGAGATCGTCCCATTGCACTCCAGCCTGGGCAACAAGAGCAAAACTCCATCCAAAACAAACAAACAAAAAACAAAAAAAAAAAAAAAAGGAAAGAAAACTAGAAGTGAACTTCTTTGCAAAAGAAGGCTAATCTTTATAAAACACTCTCTATCTATTTTAGGCTATGTTTTCCCTGTTTGTGTTAAAAGCAATACTGAGAAAATATGTATGTATATGACTAAAGACGCCGAGACAATAACAAAGAATATGCTGTTTTTCAAGGTCTTAGATCCTCATTCTAAATTCAATTCATTATTTGGAGCCTATGAAAAATAAGGCAAAATTCACAAAGCAGAATAATTTTCTACCTCATAGGAATAAATAGAATAAAGGCCATGAATACAGGAAAATAATAATAGAAATGAAGAGAAGTGAGGGAAAGGGAAAGGTAAACAGGGAAAAAGTAAGAAGTAGAGAAAAGAAAAGGTATAATGTTTTCTAGACTCAGCATCTTAGTTTGTCTGGTACTGCATATTTTCATCTGCATTATATGAATCACATTCATTTTTAGATATAAATACAGTTTGCAGGGAAAGAAAAATTCTAGGCAGCCAACAGAATTCTTCAATCTTTGAAGTGACTCGCAAGTACCCGTTTAAGTCCATTAGAAGCTTCAGAAGTCCCTAGCTGTTCACTATTATATTACCATCCTTACCATATCTCCACTATCTGGAGAGCTAAAATAGCTTAAGCAGTTATAGAGAAGGTTGGAACAAACTAAGATAATGCCTTGCTGTTTCAGACAACTTTAGACTAAACTATGTCCCCTAATACTTGCTTTCTACAGTGAAACTTTATGGAATAGGGTGTTAAGACAATCTATTGAATTTAAGTGCTTTATCTCCTAAATAATCTATTTATTGAAACAATATTTACTTTCATTCATCCTTTTAAATATTCATAATCCTTCCATCTTTCTCATTGCCTGTTCAGTCTGCCAGTAAATAATGCATATATTGATATGATATTGTAGATATTGTGAATACAAATATGTCTCCTGTGCATCCAATCCTTTTTGCTAAGCAATATAGACCCTAAGCCACAAGTAACTCTCAAAGTAGAATCTGTACATCATCATAGTTTGTAGAACATTTCTGTAAATAATATTTCATTTAAGAAAGACATTGCAATGACTAAGACTCATTACTATAAAATTTTAACAAGTATAAATTAGTCATGAACTACAAAAAGAAAAATAAAACTAGACCAAAATAAAATTTTACTTGATACTTGAATATTTTTCTTGATTTTTAACCTTGATTTCTTTAGATGTCAGTAAACATACTCTAAAAATTTAGTCCAAGACACTGACATCCTGGAAAATTCAAGTCTTGTATCCTAGTCACAGTATGATTTAGCAAATCTGCCTAAGGGGACTCATCACTACACTCCACCATTTCTTCATCCCAAGAATACACTTATGTGCTGAGAGTTACCTAAGTTATAGAGATTAGTCAGAGCTAACTCATACATGTTAGCAAGCCTTGGTAGTTCCCTAGAACAACGCTATGATGTCTGAAAGCACATATTGAGTTTGTGGTATGGCTTCTCCACATAGTCTGCAAGGATGCAGTGTGTGGTTACTTCAGACCTATCTGACATTTTCTCTTCATTTAGATGTAAGCTCATCCTTGCTTATTTCCCTTATTTTGCTTCATATTCCCACATGTCACTCCAGAAACATCTCGTTTTTCTAAGGGTTCATTCATGGGTTCTGATTAATAAACCCAAGACCTTCTATTGGGCACAAGGGGAATGTTTGAGCCCTTGGGAGCCAGGGATTATTTGCTGTCACCTCCCATCTGGTTCTGCCACTCCACCACTGGTACCCTTCCCACAACCTTCTCGTCTACAACAGGGATGGTTACATCTACTGCAGGTACTGGTGCTCTGTAAACTTCAGCTAAGATAGGAAATTCCCATATTTTTCTTCACTTTTTCCTGCCTCCGTAACCCCTCTCTTCCGTTACAGGGCTCAAGACTGAAATGTGCCTGTTCAGAAGAGCCACAGAAAACAGAATATACAGAAAGTTATCGTTATGTCTGAGTTCCTTACCTCTGACTTGAACACAGTAACCAGGGGAGAGCTAACCTCTCTGATAAAACACAGGAGAGAAAAATCCAGCTCCACAGTTTCGGTGAAGAGATCCATTGAGTGTTTCCTCTACATTAGTTTTCTCCTAATCCTTCTTTCTCATTGCCCATTCAATCTGCCAGTAAGAGCTGTGAAGTAGTATCTGGTGGCTCAGACTAGTCGAGAATGGCTGAACACAACAGCTGCTCCTTAACATTCTTCTAAGAAACCCTAAAAGAACATTATTTAGAGCCCAATTCCCTTGTCAACAATAGCCAGCAGTGCAAAGTTGCATTGTCACAGCATGTCTGACCCTGTGTGAAAATCCATAAGGTCTGGAAAAAGCAATATGCCTGCATATTGACAGCAACCAAATTTACAGTTTCCAGAGATGAAGGAAAGAGTAACATTTTTTAGAAAGTTAGTGCCAGAAAATAAACTGGAGAATATCCATCTCTACATTCTCTTTTTAAAGATTAGGCAAAGCTCCAGGGAGGTTACATGACATAACCAGAGACACAGACTGAGTTGAATTCAAGCTTAGACTAGCACAGTGAAGATCCTCAGGATTCGCAAGTTAACAGTTTTCTACTAAGTCACACTATTCCAAACCTAATAATGTTCTCAATGCACTATCATTAAGGAATTGCTGAGCAGACTGTTATCTTCTGTCATCAATGTTATTACTCTTTAAATATGGATTGAGGAAAAAATACTAAAGAAAATGTTTGCTAATTGCATACCCATTTCTGGGTGCAGGTTTAGGCTTGCAGGTGGGATGGGTCAGGAGAGCTGAAGAAAGCACTAAATAGCAGCTTTTACCTTCATTTAGGAGATGAGTATTAATGGCCAGAGGATAAATAATAATTCAAGGGAGTAGAGAAGACATCCTAAGGGAATACTTTCTGTAGTTCACACCACTGAAATTCAGAGAGAGCTGCAATCACTAGGGTTGGAATTGTCTTGAAAATCTACTGCACAGGTCAAGATCTCTGCGGTCTGGATAAGCAATGATACTTAGATAAACATGGTTTTATGATTAAGGACTGGTACATACATGGCCATTTTAATTAAACCTTCTGAAACACTAGTGGGTGGATTTGCACATGAATCTAAATTATTAATATATAAGAGAAACTCTTTCCATGTTATTAGTTCTTATCCATACAAAAATAATGAGTAAAACAATCAAAGAATGAAAAGGAAACTTAGGAATAGATAATGTAAGAACTTGGCAGAATATTGTCTCAGAGAAAAAGAGGAACTTTCTGCAAAGGCACCAAGAAGCTTCCGAGAGTGTCATTGGGTTTTTATATATAAACTCTAGAAAAGATGGTCACAAGAGAGCTTTTTTCCATTCCCTAAGTCCATTTAAGCAAACAACAAAGGAATACATTTTTTTATACTAGGAGAAAGGGCATTTTAGTGGCTTCAGACATATGTGGATAGTAAATCTTACTCAAAGTGACTGAAGAAATTAGCCCAAAGCAAAGGAAAAAAAGAAGTCAACTACTGCCCTGGTTTCACCTTTTGAAAGAACAAAAAAATGTACAGTCTATTCTCTTTTGCTCTCTTTTGCTCTCTCCTTTCCTTCTCATATTCCCTTTCATTCCTTTAGGAATATTATTTAATAATGCAAATAACACATTTAGAATATATTTTGCCATCCTAACAAATACATCTAAATGACAAAAAAAGTAAATAAAAAAGAGAGACAGCATAATACAGCAATACCAGAGGCATTAGTTTCAGATGAATCTGAATGTAAATGCTGATTCACCTGCTTTCTATTTTTGTGATTTTAGGCCAGCTAATTAATCTGAGTTTTATGTTACAGATGATACATTAAACATCTTTAAAATAGAAATCAAAATAACAGACTTTTCATACGGGAAAGTTTAGGCCTTGTAAGGAGCTTAATGCTCCTTTGAGCTAGTATGATAACACATAAATGTAATTATAGTTCATATTTCCTCCACTGAAGTCAGTCAATATTTTATATTTTCTTTTCTGTATTATGAGAAGAGTAGCTACTCATGAAATTTTGCAATGTAGCTGACGCATAGAATGCAAGAGTCCATTTTTCTCGTTACAAAAGTTAAAACAAATTAAATACTTTAAATGTGTATAAGTCATCTTATAATCAGTGATATGAATTTCTTAGACCCTTCATTTTTTATCATGAAAAAAATAGAAACATACAACTATTCTGAAATGTGCACAAAAGCACTTAAAATCCAAAACATCTCAGAATTTAGGAAAGTAATCTGAATATTTTAGAAAGACAAGTTCAATTTTCCAAAAAAGCTTTGCCCAAGATGCTCCTAAATTTACAAACACTATCTAAGTTATTTCATGTAATTTGATTCTGAGTAAAAATAAAAACAAGGGTAACATTTATCAACATCAAACAAAACTTACCAACTCATCTTGTGAACAGTGCACATATTGGAGTGGCCAGTCCCCAGTACTGCTTTTCACATGATAAATACTCCATTTTTGCTAAACTCTAGAGACGATTTATGTTTTATGGAATTTCATTATCAATTAGGAATATGAAGTTCCCATATCTGTGGAGCTCTGCAGTAACTAGCATACTTTATATTCAGGACTCTAGTCAGACCGGAAAGAGCTGGGAATTAGGCAGAAAGAAAAAATCTGAAAAAGAGGTCATGCAAATGTTTGTTTATATCCATTCGCTCTATCTAGGCAAACAAAAACTGGTGAATAAACAAATAAATATAGTCCATTTTCAAGATGAACTACGTTTTAGAGCAAACAAAGAAAGCAACATTAAATGGCAAACAGTGCTGCTGTGGGTTTGCCATTCTTTATCCAGATTCAGATATCCACGAGTAAGATAAATTACATTTTCTCATGGAATTAAATCAACCATACTTCTTGTTCCTCCTTAAACAGATTCAGTCACAAAATGTAGAAATCCTACTCATCTAAATCTAGCAATACTTTGCTTTAAGTTCTAAGATGTATTACATATCTTTCTAAAGTACCAAAAACTGAAATCTACAACTTAAAGTAAGCATGATAATAAAAACCAAGTAAGGCTAAATAAAACCAAACACGTCTCAAAATAATACTGTTTTTCAAAGTCCTTATATTCTTCTGGTAATGTACAAGGAAGTGCTTTGTAATGTGAAAAGACGTAACATAATTATATTAACCACTACTTAGTCTGTGACTTCCTTCTCTTTTTCATACCCCTTGTTTTTCTTCTTTCTCTCTCTCCCTTTTCTTGCTCATTTAACACTTATTGGATGCTCACTAACGTTCAGGCAGAGCACAGAAGAGAAAGGTATGCATCGCACCTTAAGAGATGTATTTGGTCATTATACACATTTTCTATTGCTGAAGGACTTCTTTCAGTCAGACTTGCTTCCATAGACAATTTATTAACCATACAGGGAAATGTAAAATGGTCAAAACTCTATTCTTTAACTTAACTCTGTGTATTTTGGATATGTCATAAAGATAAGATGCACCGTTAACGGACAGGGATTTGCAAATTCAGAAGACACTGACAGTAAACTACATTATACTCTCACCCATGATTTGTGTAAATGATTCATGAAAACAGAAGTGTGAATGTGTAGTTCAAATGACTGATATTGTCTAATGAATCATTACAGCCCAATGAAGGTATCCTACGCATCATAATCTGTGTCTTCCTCAAAAAGGCAGCATATACTAGCAGTTATTATTTATGGGTTAATTATCATGTTTCCTTTTTATTTAAATACCTTCAAATTCATCAGAAGCTGGTTGATCTAAGCAGGTGGCATGGAAACTCCCCATTTTCTCTCTGCCCTTTCAGACCTCTGCCTCTTTTTTCCTCTGGTAGCTGCTGCCATATGCCAGTCCTTTTTCCCAAGGACCAGTCCAGGCTGGGTGGCATAGCAGGGGCGGGAAGGAGGAGAAAGTAAACTGCAGAGCTGCTGCTTTACCAGTTTTCCCCACCGGGTCCATTTTGCCAGACATCTCAAAATATCCATCCCTTCGATTATTTTTGGTTATCCACCTCAAAATCAAATTTGAGCATTGGCCGTGAAGACTCTCAGTCGTGGTTTCCTCTGCATATGCTTGGCCTTTAATGGAATCATCCATCCTCGCATTGCACTATTCATGGATGTATTTTTCAACACCTTAGACCATGGCCCTAAAAGGTTTAGAAATTATGTTTTTGCTGTTGCTGTTGTTATTGTATCTTTAAATAAATAATTTTTCAGTTAAAAATTGCTGATTTAAAAACTGCTTTTAATATTCTCTTTTTAAAAATTCCTTTGATGATAAGGCTATTTATAAAAGCTAAATCCAGTTGGCTGCAGTGGCTCACACTTGCAATCCCGGCACTTTGGAAGGCTGAGGCACGTGGATCACTTGAAGTCAGGAGTTCCAAAATAGCCCAATCAATACGGTGAAACCCCATCTCTACTAATAATACTAAGTTGGCTGACCGTGGTGGCGTGCACCTGTAGTCCAAGCTACTGAGGAGGCTGAGACAGGAGAACAGCTTGAACCCAGGGGTCAGAGGTTGCAGTGAGAGGTCCCACTGCACTCCAGCCTGGGAAACAGAGTAAGACTCTGTCTCAAAAAATAAACATAAAAATTAAATTAAATCTAAAACAACACTGGAAGACGTGGACAACCACAATGAGTTATAGCAATAGCATGAGATTAGAAGCAGCGAGAGCTGAGAAAGCAGTGGGTCAAGGCTAGGCAATTACAAGTAGAGGCAACTGGAATCGGCCACACCAGTCTGACCGACACCACACCCCCAAGATATGATCAGCTTTCTAAGATTCAGAGACTCTCTTCAGTAGGTTTCTGCGGTAAGAAACTCCTAAGTTGGACTCTACAGAGAGAAAAGTATCCCAAGAGGCCAATAAACCTATGATGACAATAAGAAACGAAAAGATACATGCACACTTTACAAAAAGCTTTACTTCTTCTCCACAGCTCAATAAGAAAACACTTATGCTCAATAACAGCACAGGAGTGAAGGATATGCACAAGAACTTTACCAAAAAGTAGCCGCTGAAACAAGTCAAGGAGGTTAGTCCAACAATGGAACAGGGACATAAAGCTGCTGTTACTACCACTACCATTACTGTTTGGTTTCAATTTATATTTCAAGTGTATGAGTGTCTCACGCCATACTAAGCATATTTTCTGCATAAATGCATTTAATTATTGCAATATCATTCATGTTATCACCATGTTACAGCTAAGATATATGAGATCTTTAAAATTATAGTGCCTTTATAAACCTCTCACGGCAAATGCATGAAAGAGCCCCACAGTTTGATCTGACTTTAACATGTTTGTTTTCAATGGCTAAGGTACAATTTTAAATTTCCAATTTTAAAAAGTAATATTAAAACTTGTGCTTACTGGATTAGTAAATACTTAAATAATTGATAACGTCAATGTTAGGCTATTGTGGTATAATTTTATGAAATATTTTCAGCCAATAGTGTTATAATTTGATGTAATTCAATTGTGTATCAAAAGAGGAAAGGTTAACTATATTTTTGGTTATTACATATAATAAAATACTATGCAGTCTTTACAAATTTGGGGCACATCTATATCTACTCAGATGAGAAAATATATCCAGGATGTAATATGAAATCAAAAAGCATGTTGCTTCTTTAATGCAATAAGATCATATTTTAAAAATCTACTTGTATAAATGTATCATATAAGTGTGCATACATTTGTGGTATACACACACACACACACACACATATATATGATATTATATAGTATGTCAAACTTCTAACAGTATTCTTTTAAAAATGGTCATTTTTAGGTTGGGTGTGGTGGCTCATGCCTGTAGTCCCAGCATTTTGCAAGGCCGAGGCAGGTGCATCACAAGGTCAGGAGTTTGAGACCAGCCTGACCAAGACAGTGAAATCCGTCTCTACTAAAATCAGCCCAACAAGTTGGTGGGTACCTGTAATCCTAGCTACTTGGGAAGCTAAGGCAGGAGAATCGCTTGAACCCAGGAGGCGGAGGTTGCAGTAAGCAGAGATTGTGCCGCTGCACTCTGGTCTGGGAGACAGAGCAAGACTGTGTCTCAAAAAAAAAATAAAGTCATTTTTTTAACCAACAAATTTATTTTTAACAACAATTTTAAAACCATTTGTTTACCTATACTTTTGTAACATAATAGAAATAGAAAAAATTAGAAATGGTCTTTACCTAGACAGAGCAAGTCATAATTTCTATATTCAAAAGAATAATCAATTTGTTGTAAAACTTTCTGGAACCCTCAAACTTTGTAAATAAAACCACAGATGCTTAAAATGCAAATAGCAATTTGTTTTTACTTTTAGTATTTGCATTTGTGTTAATATTTTGAGGGATTCTCAATAATAATATACAAAAGCAGTCTAAAATGTGATCATATTGACATTGTTCTTACTTAGAAAAATATTATTTTCTGCTTGATTTAGAAGTGATGTAAAGTGAGTGATTTTGATAGCAGTTAGCCTAGATTACTACCATAGCATTTTATAGCCATTCATTTATTTGACCTTCTAGAATATCTTATTGTTTCAATTGTTCATGTGAGATTACCAATTTGAGATGTGACTAGTACTTGCTCTAAATGCAATGAAAGAATTTTTTCCCTACAAAAATGTGTCATCTGTAGCAAAATCTTCATTGGTGTTACTACGATAAATAATGCTGTAAGAAAATACCATTATGTCCTCTTTTTGATCTTTGTTGCTTTAAAATCCATTCCATCAGAGGCAAGAATTGCAACCTCTACTTTTTATTTATTTATTGAGAGAGGTCCAAGATGGCTGATTGTTAGCAGCTCGGGATTGTGGCTCTCAGTGAAAGCACAGAAAACGGGAGGACGCCACACATTTAGATGAATTTTTGCTGCTCACGGACCGGGAGATTCCCAGCGGAGGAGCCCCACGGGTCGCCACTGCAACTCTTGTGGCTGGCACAGTGGTTTTGCCGGCACCTTGGCACGGCAGTTTTTGGTGCAGTCAGAAAAGCACCATTAATCTTAATGCTGCTGTTTTAGCCAGCACAGTGGGTTGCTCAGATTCCGGTGCTGGTGAATCAATAAATTGGACATCCACTCAGAAACCTAATTAGAAAGGCAGTAATTACAAACACGACAGATGGATACATTTATAACGAAGGGAAGAAACCAGCCTAAAAAGGTCGAGCATACCCAAAATCAGAACCCCTCTCCCTCTACAGGGGATTATAGTTCCTCATCAGCAACGGAACAAGGCCTGATGGAGAAAGACTGTATTCCATTAACAGAGGCAGGCTTCAGAATGTGGATGATAAGAAACATCTGGGAGTTGAAGGAACTTGTTCTAACCCAATGCAAAGAAACTAAGAACTTTGAAAAAAGGTTTAATGAAATGCTAACAAGAATAGATAATATAGAGAGGAATATAAGTGAATTAACGGAGTTGAAAAATACAACACGAGAACTTCATGAAGTATGCACAAGTTTTAACAGCCGAATTGATCAAGCAGAAAAAAGGATATCAGAGGTTGAAGACCAACTTAATGAAATAAAATGAGAAGAGAAGAATAGAGTAAAAAGGATAAAAAGAAATGAGCAAAGCCTCCAAGAAATATGGGACTACGTGAAAAGACCTAATCTATGTTTGATAGGTGTACCTGAATGTGACAAAGAGAATGAATCCAAGCTGGAAAATATTCTTCAGGATATTATTCAGGAAAACTTTCCCAACCTAGCAAGGCAGGACAATATTCAACCCCAGGTACTACAGAGAACACCATAAAGATATTCCTCAA